CAGGTGGTGCGAGGCTTCGCCAACTTGGAGGAGACCTTGGACCAGTACTTCTCCCCCAAAGTCATCGAGGATGGCTCCGGCCTGCGCGTGCGCACGACGCGGAAGTTCAAACGGATGCCCGGAGCTCAGAGCCTTTTGGATGGCACGTGCTTTTCGGCGCAGCGTCACCGGCACCGCCGCCACTACCACCACTACCACCACGTTACAAGGCACTGAAGGCAGGTACGTCCAGTTGATCACGCTAGATTCCGTTAGATGTCCCATCCACAACCGTTGATTCATTGACACGGTACGCTGCGGATGTCGTGTGCCCCTGCAATTGTTGTTGTCCATCCACTTGTAACAATGTTCCACAACTCCCTCCCTCACTCCCTCCCTCACTCCACTCCCTCACTCCACTCACTCACTCACTCACCGACTCACTCACTGACTCTCACTCACTCACTCACTCACTCACTCACTCACGCACTCACTCACATGTACCTGGATGCAGGCAAACGCAGAAACACAGGCTCGTGGTTGTGGCCACTATCACATGCACTCTCAACCGTGTCGGAGAGAGAATCGGCCTCGGCGCGTTTCGAGTGAGGCCTTCGGTCTTGCAGTGGTATTTGAAGCGTGGCGACTACGACTGCTGCACGGGGCTCTCGGGTCTCACAGAGACGTTCATGCGCTTTCCGCGTCAAATCGACATGGGAAAGAACCTTGGCATTGGAGTTCATTGGCAAATTCGGGGGCTTCCGTGTCCGAATTTTTTCACGGTGCCTCATCCAATTCGAAGGTATGCAGAGGGGGGTGCAGTGTACCATCTTTATGCGATCATGGTCGAATGTGATGACCACTACCTGTCTTACATCCGGCCGGAGATGGAAGGCGCGGATCCGATGAAACTGTTGCTGTTGCTGTTTTCTTTTGGGTGTTTGGAGGTGACCGGGGGCAGTGGTACCGCTTCGACGACCGCGAGGCGGGGTCAGCAGTCTGCGGCGTGTCAAATGCCACGGCCGTGGATGCCTCCTTCGGCGGCGAAGAGTGGCTCTGCGTGAACTACCTCTACGGCCCTTCTGCTGTGCTGAAGCGGCCGCGAGAATCCCGGGCCTCGATGCTGCTCTACCTCAAGGCGCATCTTATCCATTGAAGCTCATGCACAGCTCTTGAAATTCTGTGGGCAGGATAGCGAGCTGCAGCAGCTGCTTCGCGAGCCCAAACTCCCAAAGCTGTGTCCGGAGTTGCAGATGCCCCTTCAGCGCGGAGAGCACCTGCAGGTGACACGGTTACGAGTGTCTTTGGGGTTTTTGAAAGCAGAGTACAGGGCCATAGGGTTTAGGGACCGCTGCGCTGGTGAGGCGGGGAGCGTGGAGTTGGAGGCCGCGGCGGCTGCAGAAGCCGAGCTCCTGAACGACCTCCATGTAGAGCAACTGAAGGAGGCGCAGTACCACAGCGTGGCAGTGGCACTTTCCCCACTTTTTAAGCCCAGACTACCCCTCCTCGACGGAACAAAGGGGCCGTGACGTGAGCGCGCTCTCAGACTCTGCGCAGCGACTTGCGAGTCGAAGGGGCGAATCGGCAACGTCGCCCGTGGGCGATCTATCACGGCTTCTATAGAAGCACGCTATACAGGTCGCAGCTCGGCTTCACTTCAAAAAACAAGAAGCAAATTTGCAGGAAGGCGCCAGCAGCACCGCCCGAGCAAGGGCGGACTTCGGCGCACCAGCGAGCACGGAAGACCACGAACGATCAGCGATCACTGACGGGCGGAGGGCGGACGGACAAGGCTTTCTGAGCGAGCCACCCAGTGGTTGGGCAAGTTTCTTTCAACCACTCACCAGAGAAGGACATTGCGTTGGTCCAGGGTGGGCAACGGGAAATCGAGGAGCTTAATTCTGAGTGCTTCAGTTTCCCGCCAAGATAATTCAAAAATGCTCTTTATGCTACTTGATCGGATCGTGCTGCTGCTACAGACGAGTCGGTCCTCGACTTCGGCGACACTATTGTTGTTCGGCTGTCCGCGATTTGCCTCGATCTGCTGCCACACGCGATCTGCTTGTCTGGCGAGTGAGGGCAGTGAGGCAACGAGTGGGACTAGGACTAGGACAGCTTTGTCTGTTTGATCCCTGTCGTTACGGGAAACAGGAACAGAAAAAGCCCGGAAATGTCACCGGGCTGTGTTCCACTTACGGAGGATTGCTGGGCCCTTCCCCGTGCCACAGTTTCTGCGCCAGTCCCAGCTTCTGCTGTTACGCTCTGCAAGCTCTTGGTGAGGTGAAGAAGAAGAAGGCAAAGCAAAAGAAGAAGCAGAAAGAGAAGGAAAGGAAGCACCAGGCGCAAGGGCTGCAAGGGAAAGGGGGTGCCACAAGTGAGTTGCGATGCGACGCGTGAGGTTCGGCCTGGTGAGGAGTCGGGGGGCTTCGAGCCGGTCCGTGACGAGCGGGAGGAGGACAGCGAGGACGACGAGGACGAAACGCCACAGACAAGAGGGCTGAGAGCCGGGCTGAGAGCTCCGAGGAAGCACCTTCGGAGCCTCCCATGGAGGCGCCTTGCGCAGCCAGGGGCCGCGCGCGGAACGGCCACGTCGATCGCTACCTCTGCGCGATCGCGCTTTTGGAGGCCCCGGAGAAAGAGGTGGACTCCGACGAAGAAGGCCGCAGCTCGCAGCTCGCAGCTCAGGCCATCATGGCTCTTTGTGCGTTCCTGAGGTTTCGAGGAAGTTCTGCGAGTGGCGCGCGGGAAGAAGCGCGGGAGCAAGAGCCAGAGCAACTGCGGAGCCCTTCTGGCAGGGCAAGGCCGGGCCCCTGTGGCCCTGCGACATCCCCTCAGCGCTTCCTTTTTTTTTCTGCGAGGCGAGGCGAGTGGCAGCCGCGCCTCCAGTGCAGGGCGCGCGCCGCCCAGCCAGGAGGAGAAGAACGAGGAGGCGCCCAGGGTCTGTGACTAGACGAGCTTCCCTGCACCTGCCTGACTCCAGAACACCGCGCCCGGGCAGCGGGCCCCTGCGGCGGAGCCTTCGGAGGAGGCCCCCTTGGTGGAGGAGCCGCAGGAGGTCGAGCAGGCTCTCGCCAGAGCGCTACACGCCGGTATTGCTGTGGCTCCGGACCCCTGCTTGTAGGGCTGCGAGTCTTGCACCCTTCTGGTTCGAAGCGACTCGCACCTGCAGAGAAGTGGCAAGAGCAAGGGCAGCTTTGGATGTCTTTTAGAGAGTGCCGAATGCGACCGCTGCAAACACTAGGCAGGTGAAGATGCGCAGTGTGTTTGCTGGGACTCTGGCTTCGAAGGCGCGGAAGAAAAAGGGCAAGCAGAAGAAGCGGAAGGAGAGGGAACGAGAACGAAGACCCCAGGCCCAGGCCTTCTCGCAAGTGACTTCTCCTCTGCCGCTGCTGCCGCAGGCCGAGGAGAGGACCGAGAGGAGGGTTGACAGCGAGGAGGCGCGAAAGCTGCGCCTTCCATCAAGAAGCGACTATATTTAAATTGTACTTATACACGGACACACAGACAGACACAGACATGCAGAGACACACACACACACAGAGACACAGACAGAGACACAGACAGAGACAGAGACACAGACACAGACACAGACACAGACAGAGACACAGACACAGACACAGACACAGACACAGACACAGACACAGACACAGAGACACAGACACAGACACAGAGACACAGACAGAGACAGAGACACAGACAGACACA